CATGAGTTTCAAATGCATTTCAAATGCATACCCTAGAAGTTCCAAATGCGAATCAAACGCATTTGAAACTTTGTAAAAACAATCGCAAATGCGAATTTCAAATAGGAGTTAGCATTTGAAATTGTTTTTCCTAAGTTTCAAATGCGTTTGATTTGCATTTGAAACTTATGAGTCACGCATTTGGAACGCGTGTGAAACTCATGTGCAACGCATGTGAAATGCATTTGAAATGCATTTTTTGTTTCTTACTTTTAGCACATGCTCGCCATGAAGTGATAATACTATACCTAAATGCTCACCTTGAAAAACTACCGACTACCCTGAAAGTTTACGCCTGCTTTTTCATATACAGTAGAGCCTTTTCTTCATCTGAGAAACCAGCTAAATCATTCCACATGGTCTCTTCCTTTGTAGTAAGCTTGAAGTGTCCTAATTTGTCTTGCTTCAGTTTCTCCATGGTCTTATTAAAACTGTCTACCCACTTTGGTACTAGATGTTTCTGGAATTCTTTTGCATCAAAACAACGAACAACAAGGTCCGACCTCAACGTCCAAGCGGTAAGCCACGTCCCAGCAAAGGTGGAAGACTGCTCGGTTTTTCCTGCTGACATGTATCTAAAACCCTCTTTAGATTGCGTCCACATCTCCATCCGCAGCGCTATGCTCTTTATTCTGGCCACCAAATGAGGAGTATTTGCTGCAGCCTTGTAGCTTTTCGCATAGCAATGGACGGAGAATCCTAGCGGAACAATCCGGTGATTCACGATAGAAGACGTGGCGCACTTGTTTCGCTGGGTATCTACTCGCTTGGCTTCCGTAGCTACTAGCGGCTTGTTGAGTGATTCTGGGACGCCTATGCTCTTCAATGGCTCCGCGCTACAAAGCACAGTAGTGGACTTGACTGTGGTAGGCAGATTACTTGGGTTTGCTTTTTTCGGCTTACCAGCTGCTTTCTTCGGTGTCGCAGTAACCTTGGCGCTAACACCTGTAACGTCCATCATGTCATCTTTCCCAAAAAGACTCTTGTGCAATTTAGCGACAGCCGCTTCAAAGTCCGCCTTTCTCCGAAACCCTCCCTGCCGGCGCCGTCGCTCCCGCTCTACTTCTTCATTCCCAGTTGTACCACTTGCCGCGGCTACCTCTGGTTTGTTCATAGCTCTATCTACAACAGCAGGGACATCCTTAGCATCGGACGCAGGTGCAGATAGCGGAGGTGCCGGAGGACCTTCGATTCAAAAGATATAAGAAATTAAGATAGCTCCAATTTCAATATTCACAATTGCAATCTTGAAACTCATTTTCATCTTAAAGGCATGAAAATACAAAATCAAATCAAAAAAATACCAGATCGAGTACCGGACGACGATGCTCCCGTAGGTATGGAAAGCCCAACCGCAGGCGCACTTGCTGTTGCTACTGGAACACTATTAGGCGCAACCACTTGCGCCTTCGTCGCGTCGTCTGTCGTACTGGTATACACAGCTGCGTCAGGCGTGCCGAATGCTAGAGCACGGTCATCATTCGTCGTCGGGTATCCAAAGAACTCGTCTAGAACAGCGTCGTCACGATCGTCAAGTATTGCATCCGTTTTTTCGTTCATCTCCACATCTTCTAAGAATAAGACATCTTGCTTCTCGCGTTCAGCATCCACTTCTACGACCGGCGAAAAAGGCTTCTCTAACGCAGGTGGAACAACGGGACTAGACGCTGCAGGAACAGCAACAGAAGAAGCAGGCGAACTATGATCAACAAAAACGGCATCTCGAAGACTATTCTCCTGAAGAAGTTCTAGCTGCTGACCATGCTCTTCAAAACCGCCGACGCGTGATGCTACAGGTACAAGCACACACGATGCCCCGACGACTGGAGCTGGGGCTGGCATTGTCTTTTTATCATCTAACACATGACACACAGG